CTCACTAGAGTCGTTTATATATTTTAGCAAGGTCTGATGATGAAGTGAGCTTCGAAATCGATAACCTAAAGAAAATAAAAACATTCAATTATTTGCCTCCCTCTACTTACCTTACCTGCTACATTAAATATATCCAAATAATTCACATAGATCAGCAATACATCAATAAAAAAAAAGTATCATGATATTAATGTGCTGTTTGGCAGCTTCTTCGGTTGGTGGTAGTGAGGCTAAACACAATTCTGAATTTAAGCTATGCCTTGAAGTCATTCGCATACCGCATCGTAGTGTGTGACGTAACTGGTTAATATCATGAATCTTCTTTGGACACCGGTACAGATTTAATAGTTATTTATGTATTAAGGGCATAATAATGATGTTTATATTCTCGAGGGCGACGAGTTAAAAAGCTCGAGGGCCGATTGGCATTATCCCAGTTGTGTACAGGGAGATTTAGGTTTTCATAAAAACTGGGTGGTATTTATCTCTTAATCGCGAGATTGTATCTGCAGTTTTTTTTATGTAAGCCAATAACAATGAGTAGTTATGCGTAGTGATAATACAACAATAAATTAGTAATACATTGGTAGTTTACTGTTATGTCTAATTTAGGACATATATTACCCTACTGTTATAAAATTGGCAGTAGGTAATAAAATCATAAATGCTTGATTTTGTAAGTAGGTATGTATTCAATGGTATGTAGTACAATACATATACTCGTAATGTTTACCTATATAGAAACCTACCTATAGTGAAAGCGACAGTGAAAGAGTAAAGTAGGTAAAGATAAATTGAAAGTCTTCACTCTCTGTGCGTTATTTTGAAGTTATTTCTTGACATTAATTTCTCTTGAGCAACCAAATTTGTAGTGACTGTTAATTGCCCCAAATGACAGATTTTCATAAAATATTAGAAGAGAGAAGCAGTGATTTGGAAGTAATAAAGAAATGGATGACGAAACAACCGCATTTGCCATCGAAAATAGGTAATAGGTAACTATAGTACCACTTATTATGCGTTAAAACCGCTTTGCATTACGCGATGCTCGTGTACCTATAATTAAGTTTTGTGGTATACATTTTTGAAAACCTTGCTTACGATTTGACATTGAATTTGATGCAGTTTTGTAGCAGCAGTGCGTCACTGGAAATAACATTTCTATTCAAAAACCGTCTGTTTTCTGTTTTGCTATCTATTGGAGATAAAGTTAAAATAATATATTTCCCTAATAAAATAAAAATTGGGCACGAAATTACATTAATGAAAACCGGTAATGGGGTCATCCCGCCTTCATTTTTTATTTCTGATCCACAAAGTACATTAAAAATAACAAGTTAAAAAGTAATCGTAAACGATTTACATAAAGCGCATTTCCACTTGCATTCATTTCCCATTTGTAAGATGCAACTTCTGTTAAAATCGTAAAATCCGGCCACAAATATGAAAGATAGCGTTGCACATGGGCAATCCATTTTTGACGTGCTACTTCAATTTCAGTTTATGAGAAGAATTTCATTTCAATGCTTTTCTAAATAAGAAAGTTGGAACTGCGCATGCGCAAACCTAAATTTTAAAACTAATGTTAGATTTTCCTTTGTTCCAAGCGCCTAAGTATCAAATTTCACTTAAATACTTCCATAGATAAAAAAGTTGGCACGGCGTATGCGCAAAATAAAATTTTGAAACTGGCGCTAGATTTTCCTTTATTCCAAGTGCCTATGTATCACATTTCATTTAAATTGTTCCATAAATAAAAAAGTCGGCACTGCGCATGCGCAAAACCAAATTTTGAAATTGGCGTTTGATTTTCCTTTATTCGAAGTGCTTATGTATCAAATTTCGTTTAAATTCTTCCATAAATAAAAAACTTGGCACTGCGCATGCGCAAAACCAAATTTTGAAATTGGCGTTTGATTTTCTTTTATCCCAAGTGCCTATGTATCAAATTTCGTTTAAATTCTTCCATAAATAAAAAAGTTGGCACTGCGCATGCGCAAAACCAAATTTTGAAATTGGCGTTTGATTTTCCTTTATCCCAAGTGCCTATGTATCAAATTTCGTTTAAATTCTTCCATAAATAAAAAAGTTGGCACTGCGCATGCGCAAAACCAAATTTTGAAATTGGCGTTTGATTTTCCTTTATCCCAAGTGCCTATGTATCAAATTTCGTTTAAATTCTTCCATAAATAAAAAAGTTGGCACTGCGCATGCGCAAAACCAAATTTTGAAATTGGCGTTTGATTTTCCTTTATCCCAAGTGCCTATGTATCAAATTTCGTTTAAATTCTTCCATAAATAAAAAAGTTGGCACTGCGCATGCGCAAAACCAAATTTTGAAATTGGCGTTTGATTTTCCTTTATTCCAAGTGCCTATGTATCAAATTTCATTCAAATACTTTTATAAGTAAAAAAGTTTGCAATTCGGTTTATAAATGGTCGAGATGCGAAAAGGGCACTGTGAATTTTGAATCGATCGATTCAACTTTTGGCATTGCGTATTATATGGTTAAAGCTATGCCCATATTGAATTTCATGCAATTCAGTTCATAACTAACGGAGATGTAAAAGCGATCGAACATTATTCTAAACAAAGTTACCGTTCACACGGACAGATAGATGGACAGACAGACAAAGGAACAGACGGAGAGACCAACCGGCATGCGACAGATAGCAATGCAAAATTATAAACGATCTCTAGGATCGTTAATAAACGGCAAAAGTGTAAAATTATGGAACATGTAAAAAACGGTTTTTTGTTTTTTTTTACAATAACTTTTTTTTGTAAGCGGTACAGAAAAAATTCCTTCCTTGGTACAAGACTCGACACCATAACGAACCAAATAGCGAAAAAAGTAGAACAATAGCTCTTAAGATAAAAAAACTAGTAGCGTCGCAAAGTTAGCGGACGGACGGACGGACGGACGGACAAAGTGGCCACAATAGCGCATTTCCACAAAAATAAAAAAAATGCGCTATTGTGGCCACTTTGTCCGTCCGTCCGTCCGTCCGCTAACTTTGCGACGCTACTAGTTTTTTATCTTAAGAGCTATTGTTCTACTTTTTTCGCTATTTGGTTCGTTATGGTGTCGAGTCTTGTACCAAGGAAGGAATTTTTTCTGTACCGCTTACAAAAAAAAGTTATTGTAAAAAAAACAAAAAACCGTTTTTTACATGTTCCATAATTTTACACTTTTGCCGTTTATTAACGATCCTAGAGATCGTTTATAATTTTGCATTGCTATCTGTCGCCTGCCGGTTGGTCTCTCTGTCTGTTCCTTTGTCTGTCTGTTCATCTATCTGTCCGTGTGAACGATAACTTTGTTTAGAAATGTTCGATCGCTTTTACATCTCCGTTAGTTATGAACTGAATTGCATGAAATTCAATATAGGCATAGCTTTAGCCATATAATACACAATGCCAAAAGTTGAATCGAATCGATTCAAAATTCACAGTGCCCTTTTCGCATCTCGACCATTTATAAACCGAATTGCAAACTTTTTTTCTTATAAAAGTATTTGAATGAAATTTGATACATAGGCACTTGGAATAAAGGAAAATCAAACGCCAATTTCAAAATTTGGTTTTGCGAATGCGCAGTGCCAACTTTTTTATTTATGGAAGAATTTAAACGAAATTTGATACATAGGCACTTGGGATAAAGGAAAATCAAACGCCAATTTCAAAATTTTATTTTGCGCATGCGCCGTGCCAACTTTTTTATCTATGGAACTATTTAAGTGAAATTTGATACTTAGGCGCTTGGAACAAAGGAAAATCTATCATTAGTTTTAAAATTTAGGTTTGCGCATGCGCAGTTCCAACTTTTTATTTAGAAAAGCATTGAAATGAAATTCTTCTCATAAACTGAAATTGAAGTAGCACGTCAACAATGGATTGCCCATGTGCAACGCTATCTTTCATATTTGTGGCCGGATTTTTACGATTTGAACAGAAGTTGCATCTTACAAATGGGAAATGAATGCAAGTGGAAATGCGCTTTATGTAAATCGTTTACGATTACTTTTTAACTTGTTTTTATTTTTGTGGAAATGCGCTAAAAACGACCCCTCGTATATTAGGTACTTTTTGAGTACTGCCAGTAAAATATAGGGTGTTTTTTCGATATGGTAAAGGAATTAGATGATCCCATTGGCCTTAGATGCTACACTCTGTATAATGTGGTGAAACCAAATAAGAAACTTTCATTGTAATTTTGTGTTACAGCTTTTTTTAATCGCGGAGATATTTGTTTTTTAGATATCCTTAGTTCCAGTTTTTCTTTAAAATAACTCCTAGTCGGGCACAAATTTATCATATTTCTAAACGGAATTTTAATGAGCTCAAAAAATGCAAAACATTGCCCACCAAAGCTTGAATGATATTCGCAGAAATATGCAATGGCTATTTGAATTTAAATAATTGGACGTGACTACAGAGGGTGGTACTTATACTCCTGCCTGGACAAATATTAATGATACTATCGTTTTAACTAAATAAGTATTTCTCAAATGTAAATTAACAATGATATGCAAGACGTCGTTAATATGGATGCACGAAAAGTGGTAGTTGGTGCACAAATCAGCAAAGTAACGTAGTTTTCTTATTTTTTACATCTGGGAAATAATGTAATGCACGTCAGATCTTCAAATTATTGTTAGTAGATTTATTGCGTGCTAACAGGTTTTATACCTAATAGATAGCCTGCTCTACTTGATAAAATTGTAATTGATCTACTTATTCCAGTAAATGTCGTAGGCGTGTGTATTTACTTCTGTAAAATTGGGTCGCTCACTCTCTTATTGGCTCGTATAATAATAATCTTCGAAAAAAATTGTAGGTTCGGCGTTCTGTAGCTATGTACAGTAATATTGGCGTAACGGATTTTACGACTGACCAGGAGCTAACTGTACAAACTCGTCTTGGACAACGTGCATATAAATGCTGCAAATACACTCGAATCCAAATAGTGTAAAGGCAAAAATTGAATTTAATCAAAATGCGTTATACGCTACCAATACTATTTCTTACGTCAATTTCAATTCGAACGTTTACGTGCACGTGTGACAGTTTTCGAAATTTTAAAGTAACGATAATCCCAGTTGAAGGGGCCAATTATAATATTACAGTGAATTCTTGCATTAATGATGCGACAGCAGGCAGTAACGCAATAAGGGGGTTGTACGCCAAAGATCAAGATTTGCCAACTCTCGCTGCGAACTCATTTGCGAACTTAAACGAATTGGAGGCAATTTCGTTCGATAATTGTTCAATTGAAAATTTACATGGAGGAGTTTTCAACAACGTTCCCCGACTTTCCCGAGTATTTTTGGTACGTTCGTTCATACGGAAAGTGTCCTTTGGCGTTTTTAATAATCTGCCCTCCTTAATCAAATTACGACTAAACAGTAACAAAATCGACTGTATCGAAGAGAACGCGTTCGCCAACATCAAAAAGCTTAAGAAAATTTATATGGGTCACAACAAAGTGCGTGAGTGGAAAGGAAATTGGTTCGTTAATTCGTCCTCCGTTGAAAAAGTGAATTTTGAATTTAATTGTATCGAAAGGATAGAGAGTGGCGCTTTTGTGAATCTTCCAAAAATATCTGCTATAAATTTTAATTATAATAACATTAGTGTCATCGAGGCAGGCGCATTTCAAGGCATCACTCATTTAAAATACCTTGGCTTGAGATACAATCGCTTAACTACGCTACCATCGGATATTGTGCCCAAACATTTATCCATCGATTCACTATTTATAGACGCAAATAAGTTGAACTTCATTCCAAACAAGACCTTAGAGAAGTTATCCCTAAAAAATATCACGCTGGATGGCAATCCTTGGAAGTGTCCGTGTTTAGAAGTTATTGGCAAGTGGTTGCGGGCTACGAATGCCAAAGTTAAAGCATCGAAGCACTGCAGAAACTCAAACGTACTGCAGTGTATAAATTTGGAATTGCTCCATTACGATTGCATTGAAAGTGTAGACAGTGGACTTACTGATATATTTATAGATTCGTTCAAGAATCGAAAACCGGTTAGGAACAATACGGAACATGAATTTTGTATTCGTTCAAATTAGCATAAAGTAGCTAGGTACTTTATAGATTCTTAAACTTTTATTTACAATGTAAACTTCGTTTTATTTTCTACCTAATAAATGCATTTTGTCTTATCTTTTCACTTATACTACTTCCGAGGAGCATCATATTACGTACACTGTTAAGAGCCGAAATGTCGCCTTTTAAAAGCGACCCTTTTAGTGCCAACGAGTTCCGCAAAATTTGCGAACAGTGCGAGAGTGGCCGAAGAAGAGGAAAACTTTCAATTTATTCCGTATAATTTGTGGGACCTCAAAAATAATAGTGGTAAGCTATTGCTGAGCCTTTAGCATTAGGGGCAATACACTCCTGCCAATGTGATTATTCCAGCAGTACAAGTGACAGTAGGCACCGTGTACACTTACAAGGTGGAGATTATGGACGGTCGGGTAGGAATCAGAAGTGCAACTTTCGTTGTTTCGGATTTCAGAGGACAGGTGGTTATCTCGGTTCTTGACCGCTGTCAACCGAAATTAAATGATTAAAGGAACTTAACCTTTGTGAAGTTCAATCATAATTGTATGAAGATCTCGTTCTAGTGATCAATATGTACATATTCCAGTGGCGTATTTAGGAATTGCTTTTGGGGAGGGTCCGAATAGAGAAATTTGCCAGTTACTAAATTTTTATGAGTATATGTATATCCATTCTATCGTAGCAATAATAAACATGTAAACAAATATAGAAAACGAGCTCCTGGGTATGGCAATAGCATGTGCAAAACAAAATTTGAACTTGGTGTTAGTTTTGCTTTTATTTTATTTTTTTTTTTTTCTTAAAGGCCCTAACGGGATCAAGCCCATGATAGCCCTACCTGTTTAACAATAAGGATTTAACACTGGCCACATAGACTTCACGCAAAGGGGCCTGTCAATGCGACTTACACAGACAACACAATGCACTAGACCACGGTTCGGTAATTAGGTACTATAACAAAGGACAAGACAAGAGGAGCGAAAAAATTAGGAGTTGTAAATTAAATATTAATCTGAGTTTGTCTCAAGAAGTGTATTATACCATCGAAAACATTTTTGTCATTGGCAGCCAAAAGACTAACGACGTCGGTGGGTAGTTGGAGTCCCATTCTCACCAGTTTTGCAATCAGTATGTCTGTCTGCATTTGGTTAAGTTGACATCCAAAAAATATATGATTGAGATCCGCCATCTCACTCCCGCACCTACATACAGGTGACTCTATAATGCCTATTTTATATAAATGGGCAGGGTAAAGATCGTGACCGAACTTGAGCCTAGCGATGGTAGAAAAATACTGGCGACCTACAGAAAAATCCCGAACCCAGTGCCTTTTTATTAATGCGGGTTGAATTTTGGCATATTGAGTAGTATGTGTGCGATAAGAATTAATCCATTGCAGTTCCCATTTTTGTTTTATCAGAGAGTTTTTAATTACCAGGTACAGATCTCGTTTGGTTAGTTTATTATTGAGAATATCCTTCCTTTCAAGTCCTAATTTGGCCAACCTGTCTGCTTCTTCATTTCCTGCAATGTTGCTGTGGCTCTTCACCCACTGCAGCTCAACATTTATAGATTTGGCTCTAAGGTTTCGTAACACGATCATAATATCTATAATAACGGGGTTGGATTTAGCCTTACATATCTTTGCATTTATTGCTTGAAGTGCGCTATGAGAGTCCGTGAAGATGACCACCTTATTGCAGAGTTGGAGGGAGGCATATTTTAAGGCTTCGAGTATAGCCACACATTCGGCATGATAGACAGAAGACAGTTTATTTAATCTAAAGGAAACTCTAAAATTCTGTGTCGCCTCAAAAAAGGCACCAGCGCATCCATCTGAAGATTTGGAGCCATCTGTATAAAATAATAAGCTGCCAGCTTTTCCTGCAATAATGGAGTTATGTAGACGAGTGTTATAGTCTCCGTGGTCAAGATAATTAGGATACTGTATGGAAGGTTTTAAAATAGTATCACCGTATTTTAAGTTAACGAGATCTGGGAAATAAAGTTCCTGATTAATGTAATAGGCTATGTTTGCAAAAGCGGAAGCTAGCGGTGGCGATTTCTTTTTGGACCAGTATTTGTTGACAAGATCTAAATTACACAGTTCAGAGACTTTGTCCAATAATTGATTGTTGGAGAACTTTAACTTAACGATATATTTTAGGGCTAAGTATTCTATTCGAAGTTCTAGCGGTGGTTCTTGTGCCTCTACCTGCAGCGCTAATATAGGTGTAGATCGCATCCCCCCGACGCATATACGAAGTGCTTTGTTTACTACTGTTGTTAACTGTTTCAATAGTGTATTTCGCGCCGAACCGTAGAGGTGACAGCCGTAGTCAATAAGCGGTCGCAGATAGGCTCTAAACATATTTATCGTAGTGAAGTAATCGGCTCCCCAACTAACTTTCGTTGACAATCTTAATAGGTTTAAGGCTTTTTCGCACTTTTTAACTGTGGCCATGATGTGATATCTCCAGTTAAGCTTATTGTCTATTAGTAGACCGAGGTATTTAAAATGTGTAACAATAGGGAAGGTAGTGTTGCTTAGTTGAATTGAACCCGTAGGGGTATCTCTCTGCCTTGCTATAAACATGACTGCCGACTTAACAAAACTGATTTTGAACCCGTTCTCATTACACTATTCTTGAAAAAGTTTTGAACCCTCATCCATAGCTTGAGTTAGATCAGCCATATTATTAGTTGAAAAATACAAACAAACGTCATCAGCATATTGGATTATTTTGCCCACTTTGTTAACAATGTTGTGCAAATCTGCAGTATATAAATTAAAAAGTAATGGTGACAGGATGGGTCCTTGTGGTAAGCCTTGCCAAATCGTTCTAGGGCCGAATTTGTGGTTTTGGTATGATCTTACGTATACTTGCCTTCCGTCAAACAGGTTCATTAAATTACGAGCGAAATGTGATGGAAAAGCCAAGTTGATCAGTTTACGATTTAAAGTGTATTTCATTTAATTGCTTTCATAAATAAGAAAATTGGCACTGCACATCATGCACAAAACCAAATTTTGAAACTGTCGTTACATTTGCTTTTATTCCAAGTGGCTATGCATCAAATTTCATTTATAAATGCTTTCATAAATGAGAAAGTTTGCACTCCGGTTTGTAAATGGTCGAGATGCGAAAAGGGCACTGTGAATATTGATCGATTAGGCTCATCATATGGAATTGTGTTTTATATGCCTAAAGCTATACGCATATTGAATTTCATGCAATTCGGTTCATAACTCACAGAGATCTCAAAAGGGCCATGCTTATTTTTTGGGCTATATTGCCAATTCACGTCCTTCGATCTACAAATTTGGTAAAGAATCCACCTACAAAATTTCATCGTAATCGGTCCATTCGTTATCGAGATTCGTGGTAACGGACGGACAGACACCGCAAAATTATAAACTCGCTAGGAGCTCGTTAATAATTAATTTAACAACTCCGAGAAAATTCTAGATATCTACCTAATCCATTGTTCACCATTACATTCCTACTTCCTTCCAAACACGTCTTAGAATTGTTTTCCTGATACTAAGCACCACATTCCTGTTACTTGGTGAGACGTTAGCGATTGTAGATCGCGCTCTGGCAAAGTTGTCTATCAATTCAAGTCAGAGTGGCGATTGTAACACCGCTCTCTCTCCCTCCCTCCCTCCCATTAAGCTCTATTCTCCCCATAATAAATAATAAACTTTAAAAATTACAACAAAATAGATTTGACCGCTCAACAGACGTATGATATGCGTTTATACAATTGAAATAAAAGACTAACGAAGAAGGGTTATGTATTTATATTGCTGTGTGCACCGATCCGTAGACCAAAAAGACCGTACACAAAACACCTATACAAACCTAGCTAGCTCAAACCTTTATCTTCCTTGGAACAAAACTACTCCCTAGCACAGAGGAGGAATTCGACTCTTTTCTCAATTAAATTATTAACTCCTACCAGATAGTGAGTTAGACCAAATACCTTAAATTCCAAATCAATCTTAATAATTTTGATTGAATAAAATGGATCTTGGGCAAGTATCCAAAGAAAACAGTAAATGAAAGGAAATGAAATCGTTCGAATGACATACACAGCAATTATTGTGAAAATTACTAAATTCAAATTTAATTATTACACACACACAATGAAAAATATTACAAGAGACACAAACAATTAATACAAAGAAAAAAAAACTAAAATTAAAACTTAAGTTTACTTACATTCGGTGCATGTCCAAAATTGCTAATCCAAATACGTTACACACAAAAAAAAACAAAATTTCAAAATTACATAAAAAACACTCAAGTCGGCGCGGACCACACCTTAGTGACGCACTTTACTGAAGGTTAAGGTTAAAAACATCATTTGAAGAAAATCTATTATCTGATCCGAAAAAGCATAAGCAAAACGCTGGCGAATTTACAACCACTGGCTGCGCCATAACGACATAGGCATTATTGGCAATCGCAATTTCTTCGTTTTCAAATGCTTGTTGGATATCTTGTAAAGAATTTACAAAGAAATTATTAGTTATTGGAAATCCGTTCTCTTTTGATAAACGTAAAACGAAACCAACCATCTTATTTTTGCGGGCGTCGTATTTGACGCACTGCACTATTGCTGTTTCGTCTTCACTTAAAAAAACTTTTAGTGGATAATTCCTTTTCAGCAAATATTCTTTCAACTCGAGAAATCTTACTTCACCGTCACCTGGAGGTAATTTTGCATCCAATGTCCTATATAGTGTACTGAGAGAGGGCAACGGCTTTTGTAAGTTGGTGTAAAGTAGGCTGTACAATCTTCTACCTCCAGTAATTAACACATATAGGGCAAACAATTTCAGAGGTTCATCAAATCTTTGTTTGTTGTGTTGTCTTCCAATATTGTCCAGTGCCGTATTTTGTAAAATATTTAGTAAACGTATTGTTATTTTACTTTGTTCATCTCAATTACTTTCATTTTTTAACATACTTTTAACTTCCATTTCAGCCTTATCCGTCAGATTTTTAAAGTTATCGTTACAGTTGGAGAGCCATACTTTTTGAGCTTCTAAGTTTAAATGAATTGTTTCTTCTAGCTTTTTAACTATTTCAATGAAATTAGTAATCTTTGGCTGATTTGTGGTAAAATAACTTAAGACTCGAATTTTCCTATTTCTTCGAGAATTTCTGTCTAACAAACATTCACTTTTTAGAGGCTGTCGTAGTGTTGCAGGAACTTTAGCTTTCGCTTCAGCCTCTTCAATATTCCTGCACTCTGCAAAAAACGTATCTCGCTCGAGGTCTTGGTCCAAATCGGCCATACTCATGTTATTTATATTCATCAGTGGCATGAGGGGAATGCGAGTGAGGGAACTCGATGGAAAATCTGGATCCAGATCTGGTTGAAGGGAAGGCGATAATAAAGGTGACTCATCTTGTAATTCATAAGCTGCTGGCGATGCTACTAGTTTTGAACCTGGCACGAGGGCTGGCTTGTCTGAAAACAGAACTTCTGTGGTTGTTGCTTCAATCGTGTGGTTTTCGGGATTATCGCGACTAGATTGAGGATTACGTTCTTTAGCCATTACTTTGATCTCTTCAACGGAAGTAGATTTGTTAGGAGTCGTTATCACAAACTGCAACAAATCTGAATTTCTTAATTTCCTGTGTGGTTGGACTCCACAATCTTATTTGCATTAGCATATGTCTTGAAGTGAGTTTGGAAGTGTTTAATAAAATTGTGAGTTTTCCAATTTTTTCTTGAAGCAGACGTTGTTACATCGTATGCAGTAGATGAAAATGCGCATTTATTGCATTTAATTCTTGCAGTATCGGCAGTATCTACCTGTACATTAATTTGGTCAATATTTTCCAGAGCCACTTGAGCTATTTCCGGCGATAAATGTTTATGGCAATAGTTTTGAATACTATTTTTAATACGATTCTGTAAATGGCGTTCTACCTCGTGTTGAACCGCCACATCCTCTTTCGGCTCCTCCATTGACTTCTCACCTCGCTTCTCACACTTCAAAGTGCTTGCAGATCGTCCACGGTTTATTGCAGTCTTTGCTTTTTTTAAGGTAGTCCCGGGGTACTACCGTTTTCTTCGTTTTCGTTTTGACGTTTCAGATTGGCTACTGAAATTCTTTTAATGCATTCATTTTTTAGTTTCACGATTAAGTCTAAATGCGGATCTGGTATTTCAAATAACGCCATGTTCTTGGAATAACAACCAAACAATTTTTTTAATTCTTCAGGTTCAAATAAGTCCCTTGCCTTTTCTTGGGCAAATTTCTCCATTTTTTTAAAACCAATTTTGTCTATTTTGGACATTGTCAGTAGGTTATCGTAACCAGTGCTTTTTAAAAGGTGTATAATATATTCTGGGAATTCCATTTGGTAATAGTCTACCATAGACCCAATAATATTCTGTAAACTATTTTCTGCCATTTTGATCTAAAAGGCAATAATAATCGACATAATAATATTGACTGCTAACTATATAAGTAATGAAAAGTTACTATTTCGTACTCGATTTCGTATCAAATGTAAATCGATTTCCAAATAGATTAATTCCGATTAATTCGCGTCTAGGTCAATGACTATATTCGCTACGAGATTCGCTACCATAGTAAATGAATTTTTTTCGAGAATTTTTTTTAATGATTTTTCATTTTTTCACAAACTTGTGAAATCATGAAATTTTAAAATACCTCAACCATTTACGATCAAGATAGAGGACAATTCTCGGGAATTTCGCCAGACATAGACTCTCTCAATTGCTAAAAGTATTGCTTCGGTTAGGTATTTGTTAATCTGTTAATCAGTGATTAAGGAAAATCGAAAAGAATACAGCTTTTTGATTTTTAATTGAACACATTACCGCGAATTACGAATTAAACAAACACAGACTATTTAAAACAATATTTTTACACTCGTTTTTACAGAATGGAATGAACGCATTGTACATGTGAAAAAAAGAAAACATTTCATTTATATGAAGAATCAAAGAAATGCAGTATTTGCTAAAGTATAGAACAGTAAGATATTGTTGCAAGGATGCGTCATTTCCCTGAATTTCAAGACTAGTCCCTAATAATCCTCTTTCTATGAATTGAACAAAGAGGTACTCGTATATTTTTAGTCAACTAGCAGGTAATAAAAGAGCAAAACTATTGATCATACTTTTAGGTTACACTAACCATAAAAATTTGGCTGAACATTAACCACACTAGTGGATTAACTTTGGGATTAACTAACATTTGTAACACGGAAATAACTAGGTGGTTTACCCATCGCCCTCAACTATACGTAAAGATAAATAGGTTTCACTGTGCAAGTAATTTCCAAAATTAAAATTATACTTCAACTTATCGCAAACTGCGCTCTCTGACATATTCTCAAAAGAATACGTCGATGAGTTAATAGGTACGTGATCGAGTACGTGATAGCCATAATCTAAAGTATTAGCGGTTGTAGGGTGACATTAATATACGAAACTTACCTTCTTAAATGTTGCAAAGAACCAAAACCGCTCTTGAAAAACCGAGTGAAAAACTGACGTTGTCACTACCACTTGTAGAAACATCGAGAGAAACATACTACAGAGTATGTGTGCTTTGCAAGCTATTCCGCATTATTCCTGATGTATTCCCATTTATTCCGGTGTATTCCGATTTATTCCCGTGTATTCCCAACTACTCCCGAGCATTCCGATCGTATTCCCGTGTATTCCGGAAAAACGTACATTGATTTCGGGCTGCGGATGACCCCTCGCTTCACATACGCATTTTGAGCACCCAAAGTACTCACTGTGACCTTTTACGTTTAGAATAAATGCTCTGCGATAAAACAATTAAGTTGTATATTAAAATGCTGTCCATTCACTTCTATTCCTGTACCTTCTAAATTTTGGAATTCGTTTACAAATCTCGATAAAACTCGTGGGAGGTAGGTTTACTAAGCCTGAAAAAACCAATAATAAAAGGCCGTGTATATTTTTAATGATCATATCTCCCATAATAGGCCAGAACTGACTACCGGATGATTTTGCTAAAGCATTGAATAAAAACACTATAAGAAGCCTACGCTTATGGAAAAAGCGCGACAAATCTCACAAATCCCCTTGCACCCGCATTGGTTGTGACCACCGAACTCTCTTTGCGTAAAGAGGAAGCAAATTCTCATTCTTCTCAGTCAAGAATCGACTCTATTACAGTTTCCCATTATATCTCAGTTCAAACTCTGTCGCGCTTATTTCCACGGGGTTAGGCTTTTATAGTGTTTATTCAATGGCTAAAGGCAATCCGTCTACAGATACATTAAGTTTTAAAGTGTCAACAAGATCACATAAGTTGTATTTTAAAATTAATCTTTTTATGTTACTTACCAGACCAACATGAATATACTGACCACCCCCAATATCAACAACATTTATTTAACCTGACCGAGGTGTCTTGAAGAATATTCTTGCATCGTTTGGTAGATCTGGGTGGCTGGCCGATTATCCGTTCGCGGTCTTAGTCTTTTATGTCAATGGTTTATACGCTAGTTCTAGCCTGAGAAAATTGCGGTGACAGGCGTTTACTAATCATCGCACAAAATCTGTCGTTTATCTCTGTGTCTGTTTGTTATATGTATACATTCTATTTCAATACGCCGATTTTATAAAATTCATAACGTGCCGCGGATATGTTTCGATTGAATCCCAGAGAAAAGGGAATAGGTACAACACTTTAGGTTTTTTGCCGTTATTTGATAATAGCTTTACTAATGTTTTTCACATTGGCGTTACTTATATTGGTGTTTTGATTACAGGTTTAAAAACGATCATCAACGCATTGTTACATTCCTTCAAACAACTAGCGGAGGTAATGACGTTAACAATTTTTTGCCTTATGGTGTTCGCCCTATTCGCGCTTCAAGTTTACATGGGCGAACTACGAAATAAATGTGTTCTGAAAATGGATGATCACAACGCATCGTACGAAAATTGGTTTAAGTAAGTAAATTTCTATAAAAATGGCCGATGGCGTCACCGATTGTATTGTTTGTGTTTCAGCTGGACGAATAATCCGGATAATTGGTTGATAAAGAATGAAACTGGCGAGCCTCTACTCTGCGGAAATGTAACGGGGGCGCGTCACTGCCCCATTACGCATACATGTTTGTGTGTCGGCGAAAATCCCAATCACGGTTACACAAGTTTTGATAACTTTTTGTGGTCGATGCTCACAACGTTTCAGCTCATTACGTTAGATTATTGGGAAAATGTATATAATATGGTAAGTGCTCGTTCTATTTTATCCAATCGTTTGTAGATAAATCTACTTTGAAATTTTTCATAAAATCTAAATTGTTTACACATCATTTATTCGACCGACGCGCCGACGGTGCGAGATTGTGATTGAATGCAAATTTCACTTAAAGTAAATGACTTAAAAACCTTTCAGACCATTAACATCGCTATACTTGTACATACTTAATAAGACTAACATACCGTGAATATTCGGAACGTGTGTAAAGAATTTAAAAGAATTTCATACAAAATATGTATGTATTCTACCCCTTCATATTTGTCAGATAAATGATTCAAACGATTCTACAAAATCTACGCTATTAAAATTTAGACTGCCAATAGAGTCTAGCACGAAACAAGTGGCGGGCATGGTAACTTTAATTTTACCACATGAAAATGTTTGATGATTAAGCAGAGGCTGGTTTTATGTAATATATAGTGTTCGCTTATCATTCTCCTTACTGGGAATAATTCAGTTTTCCACTAATGCCGTAGTACTTGTCGTGGTGCCCTTCTTTAGTATACGAGGTGCAAAAGTATCAACCTTGCCCGAAAAGTTCGCGTCGCTGTGAGAACCGGTGCAATTATCAAGCTGCCAGGCTTACAGGAGGATTTCATTCCATAGTGGAGTGGTGACGGACCGTATGGCGCAGTTCAGTTAAAGCTGAAATGTGGTGCTAAGGGTCCCTAGTTCTAATTCTGGTTTGGGCATGGATATTTGTAAATGTGGGTTGGGTTGGTAGAGCAGCCTTGGCTGAAACCCCGCCCACTCAAAAATGTACGTTTGTAACAACTGTCCATTACTAAATTTTTAAACACAAATGCATTATAAAACACAAACTGTCACAAAGTTTATCCTCGAGATGCCAAAACTTAAAACACGTGAAAAACGTAAACTTGAGATTCAGTAGCGTTCACTGTCCGATTGTAAAAAACAGAGGTGCCCAATCGCATCGCAGTGAGTAAAAACAAAACACTTACAAATTTTATAAGTGGATTGAATGCAATATATCACCGCTAGGTAAAATTGGTGGTTAGTGTTTGTGATCATGGTCACTTGAATCAAAACTTCGGGGTGCTACCAATCAGACTTGCAATATGCAATAAACAAATGCCGTACAAATGATCACATCCTACTACTCAGGGGAACAAATTCTTAGTTAACTTCACGCTTGGCAGAACTAAATTCGTTGGTCTTTTGTTGGTGCCTTTTAGTGTCCAATAAACCCACGTTTGGGCTCATTTCCTATCTATCGGGCTGAATATACGTTTTTCTAACTTAAGGTCGAATTTTTTTGGTATTTACGATTTCCAAACTATTCTCTATAAACTGAGCTTAATGCACAAATGCCTATTTTTTTCTTACTTGAGCTATCTTAACTCTAGCTCTTATTTACTCTAATTTTATCGCAATCATAATCAACTCGAGTTTCCCCCAATTTTATGCCAAACGTTAGTACTTCGTTAATGCCCTTTAATGCAGTGTTGGTGCCACTAGAACTCAACGGCAGGGCCGGATTTACAGCGTGCGGGACCCCCAAACACGAGGTAGGGATGGGGCCTATACGCCGTATGCCTTCATCTCTACTTTGCAAAAATGGGTCAAGCAAAAAAAAGATCTTTCATAGTTTACTATAATGATTTATGATTATGCAATAATTTCTGTTTATTAGAGGGAGGGGTGTTAATAATTAAGTATAATGAAATGAATATAAGGAATACCTTTTATTTATATTTATTTATATTGATTGTTCAAGAAAGTACATTTAAAGTACATTTCAAATCAACTAAATAATATGCAATCACATGATTTTTTCTACTCTTCACTACCGAAAATTGGTCGATGATCTCTTGATACTCAAAAGTCTGCAGCGTATCATGTTCCATGCTCATAAGGCTCAAATCTGCTAACATTTCCTGGGAGTTGTTTAACAGTGAAATCTGTATTCAAATCTTTGGGGTACTTATTAAGCAACTGATGCTTTACGTTGTTTTTTTGCAACAGATTCACTCGTTTTCGTGGTCGTGTCGGAAATTTTCAAGTTTATTAATAACGCATCTATGATGACTACATTTTCTACACCCGTTTTAGAGACGAAAAAAAGGAAAAAGGCCAACGTGTTTCATTCCTCCGGCACCCCTGACTACAGGGATACCGGAGGCGGGCTGCTCAGGGCTTCCTGGCCCTCTTCAGCCAGAGAAGGGGATTGTAAGGATGGGTAAAGTTAGGGATGGGAACGGAAGGAACGGAGTTAGGGTGCTGAGGGGGAGAGTACTGCTCCAGCATTCGACTCGTAGATTTCAACATAATGCTAGCATTATGCGAAGCTACGTATGTCTGAGGAAAACCCCCTGACAAAACCCCAGACAGAGCAGTCGGCAGCGGGATTCGAACCCACGACCTACCGAATAGCATCGGTGAGCGCAACCATTGCGCCACTCGCCTCGGTTAGAGACGAAAGTAGTTGCTTCTAAAGTGGTTTCAGAAACAAAATTATTTCTATACATATTTGTCGAATTGTCAACGGTTTTTGAGGTGTACGTTTGAATGTCGATGATTTTCGAAAAGATCATTTTCACCAAATTCTTTTTGCCAATATTTGTTTACCTTGCCTTCCAGGAGATCGTTTCTCAGAAAAAGTTTCAAAAACCAAGTTGTGGAGCAGTAAATTTCCTTTACGTTTATGTAACTTGTACATCCCTGCAGAAAGACCTCGTGACTGCTCACCTGAATTGGTGTAACCGAATGACAAGTTATTTTCATGCCACTGGACACTTCGCATATGCCAAGTCTTACCACTTATGTGTATGGAACGGAATCAAGTAAGATTAACAGTGCTATACAAGACGAAATTCAGTTACTCTGATAGTTCGACGAACCGCAAAAATCATAAAACTTGCAAGCTTTGTTACTTTTAGCTATTGATTATTCTTACGAAACTTTGAATAACACCAACGGAAGGTTTAGGTACAACTTGTACCAAAGGAAATAATTTAGCAGAAGAATTTTACTCGTATTTAATTAAGAAATATTTCAAAACGCCAATTTCAAATAATAATTCTCGAAATGAATTTAATTTCGTTCTAAGACGAAGGAAACAACAGCTAATTCAATGCCTGAAACCCAATAACAAAGAGTTCGCTTAATTTTCATCGCCACAAGTTTGTAGGTAGATCAAAGATAAAATTCCGTACCTTTCGGTTACAAGTTTGCTCGTTAAATAAAGAGAATCGCAGAGAATCAGGAGACAGTTGGAACGAGGTTTTAACCAAATTTGTCTCTACAAACAAATGGAAAATTCGTATTGTATTGTAGTTAATCAATATTATATTCACGTTTTATTTGAATATCATCACTACCTCCTCTTTTAGCGTACTTTCGGTCTGCGTTCGCTCCCTGAAAATTAGTTTAATTTGGCAATATGCATGATGTTTAATTAATACAATAAACTCAATTATTATTACATCATGTTTTATTCAGTGTTGCTCCAACAATCTGGCTTTTATTACCATTACTACGTAGTTTGGTTATAAATGTATGTTGCATACTCGCCTTTTCACCATTTCATTATGTCTTTGTTTGCATCTTCCCTTAGCATAATACTGTACGTTGTCAAAGATTTACCCGTTGCCGAAAAAACTTTGATTCTTGGCAACCAGTCATTTTTTACGATCTTTACATCACTGTATTCCCGATAAATGTATACACTTACAGCCAAATGTAAATGCCCGGGATCTACAAACGCTAAATCGAGGAATTTTCGCAACGCAGTGACCACGTAAAGACAAGTTTTTGGCTTCCGGTTATAAATGAAAACTAAGTTTATTTGCTCTATAGGTAGTTTCAATATCATAACCCGAATAAGATGAAAGTTTTGTTCCGGTTTTGCTTAGGCTAGAACCATAAATTACAAGTTTGCCACATTCTCCATAGTTTAGATTTGATGAATTTGATGGTAAAGTTATGAACATAAACTTTTCGTACCACTCGATAGAATTTACCATGCAGATATTTACAAACTATATTCGGAGATTCATTATTAGAACTAGAGTCACAATAATCGTTCCAGTAATCACAGTAATCAGACTGAGATGTTTATCTGATTCATTTATTCGTTGATCTACATATTTACTTATTTTTGCAAAATATAAGATAGTGTCCTTTTCTATGGTATCGGCTACTGATATGAATTGTTCTTTAATGGATCAGACTTTGTATCGTTTGTTATTTTTGTATGTCAATTTGTCACTCATTTACTATGTATAATTTTAAATGGAATAAAGCCTAGCTTTCGGTACCAAAGCGGCGATCACCAAGATTGCGCTCTACCACCGGTAGAGGGCGTCATGTAAAATGAGAGAAACGTCAATCTGAATCTCATGCCTTGTTACCTTGTGCTTGTATACAGGGTCATTCTTGACGAGCGTCAGTTAGAAAGATATGGAAAACCTTTGAAAATGAAAATAAACTGATAAGTTCTTTAAGGGTCTTGGTACATGATGAATTGAACTAAAATATTTTCAAGATGGTGCCACTTCCGGAAATACCGAAAGTAGCCATCAACTTTGTTATTTTAAATAGGGACCCCCTATTTTTTCTACATTTTCGGATTCTACGTCGAATTTGGAGTACAACGATACCCCATAGTTGACCCTTTGCTCCAAGGGCTTCGTCGATATTCAAGTTTTTATGTCAAAAATTGAATTTGCAGCGGTAATTTTAAAAATTTATTATTCGAAAACGGTGAGAGATATTGAAAAACAGTTTTCAATGCTTTATTAAGGAAAGTTTGAATTTTTTTATGGTATACAAAACCGGTTAAAAAAGTGAGACTACGTCACTTATTCAAAGCTCTCAACTTTTAAACCTTTAAATTTCGGTAACTCCATTTTTTTAAATGGCACCCCCCATTTTGATCTGACCCTCGTCAAGAATGACCCTGTATACGATTGATTTGTTCATTCTTTGGTTAATTAAAGTTCCGC